TCTACTTCCGTAGAGATACTGCCTTGGAAACCCAAGGACGGGTCGCTACAAGTCGAATCAACTTGTATTTTTAATAAAGAAAACAAAAATCCTCACAACTGGACCAATAAGTGGCATCACAATGAATGGAGAAAAGATTCAAGTTGTCAAAGACTTCATATTTCTTGGTTCTATAGTCAGCACCAATGGAAGCAACAGTCAAGACATCAGACAATGTATTGCATTGAGCAAATCTGTTGCAAAAGACCTCTTTCAAGTGCTCAAAAACAAAGGTATCTCCTTGAAGACTAAGATGCGCCTAACACAAGCCATGGTTATTTTCAAGTGCCTCATATGCATGTGAGAGCTGGACAATGAATAAAGAAGACAGAAGAGTTGATGCTTTTGAATTGTGGTGCTGGCAAAGAATGCTGAAAGTATTATGGACTGTTAAAAAAATTAACAAATCTGTCCTGGAAGAAGTGCAGCCAGAATGTTCCTTGGAAGGAAGAATGGCCAGACTTCGTCTCACCTACTTTGGTCATGCTGTTATAAGAGCCCATCTCTAGAGAAGGATGTCATGCTTGGTAAAGTGGAGGGTCAAGGAAAAAGGGGAAGGTCCTCAACAAGATAGACTGACACAGTGGCTGCCATGATGGGCTCAGGTATAGTAGGGATTCTGAAGCTGACACAGGACCAGGCAGGGTCTCGTTCTGTTGTATATAAGGTTGCTATGAGTTGGAGACGACTCATCGGCACTATTTCGGAACAGGAAATCTCTAAGGATATATACCAAAATAGTTGCCAAAGAATGTTTCAACTGTATCATTAAAGGTGTTTCTTTAAAACAAGTAGACATGAAAATATATATTAATTCACAAATGGCACAATGAGTTCAGCAAGGCACTTTAAGCAGCAGGACACACAACAGTGAAGTGGCTTCAATAAGACATGTAGTTACTCAGAATGACATCCTTCTTATGGAAGCCACTGTCCAAAAGATGGTTTACAACAAACACCTTGAATAAGCTGCTAGCTATATTTAATTATTTCAAGATACATGTTTCCATCAGAATTTCTAAAAGGCAGTGTGACTGGGTGGGAAGGACATTCTTAGGCCTCAATAGCTGAAAATCATCTGATCCTCTAAGTATAAAATTTGATTCAAAAAATTAAATTTTGAGTTTATACTCGAGTCATCCATTCAACATAGTTGTCTAGATATTTCTGTTAGGAAGTATTTAAAGCATTGATTTGGTTGGCATCACTTTTGCTTGAGATTGAATTGCAGTACAGAGGCACAACTACAGGCACACCTCGGAGGGAGTGTGGGTTCAGTTCTAAACCACTGCAATCAAGTCACTATCTCAATAAAGTAGTCACACAAATTTTTTTGTTTCCTAGTACATGTTATGTTTACACTATACCATAGACTATTACATGCAATCACATGAAAGTTTGAACTACTGCGAGAATTACCAAACACAGAGATAAGGACTGAGCACATACTGTTGGAA